AATTATATTTCACAATATTACAGTTTTACAGTATTTTTGACCAAATAATAAAAAATAATCACCAAAAACTTGGTGGAAAAAAAAGTCCTTTAAAAATATTACTGATCTTAAATGTTAAAAAATAGCATAGCCAGGATATATATTTTCCTTAACTTTTAAAAGCTTAGTGCGACATATTTGATTTGGACGTGACCGCAAATGAGTCATATGAAGCATTTTATAATATTTTATGCTGCTTTTTGGCCTTTTTGGTTCTCAGTAGATCTAGTCCCCATATAATTTACTGGGTATACTCAAAACAGTTTCTACAAATCTCGTTTTGCGTTCCCCACATGAAAGTTTGGAATAGCATTGTGTTTGGGTTTTTGTTTGTTTGTTTTACTATTTCTTTAACCTTTTTTTAGTTTTAGACGTATGCTAATTCACTGTAGTCTCCATCAGCAATAAAGATGAGAGAAATCGAAACATTTTCATACAGCTATCCAGGATGGAAACACGGAGATGGTACAAACCCACAAATACATGGAAATCCATCAAACAGCAGACTGGACTGACAACACAGCAATGCTGTAGCAGAAAGACCAGAGAAGCCTGAACTTTCTGAGGAGGCTGTCAGAGACGTTCTACCAATCTTCTAGGTTAGAAAAGAAGATGGAGGTGCAACTGGAGTCTGTTACAAACAAATCCCCATGTAAATGCTCCCTTAGGTCTGGTGCCATTAGGAGGTACTGAGTGTCTTTCCTGCACTCATCTGCATGTTACTTCTGGCGTTCACTGCAGTGAGAAGTAATGACATTGAACAAGCACATACATTTTATTTTTGGAACCATTAACATAATGCATTCAAATTTTTTCTGTGTATGTGATACTATTGCATCGTATGTGTTCTTGCACTGTCTACGTGGAAGTATGTTGGTGCACCTGCTTCTCTGTGAAAGGGTGACTACAGGGAAAGTGGAAGAAGAAACGGATCCTATTAAGATAAACCTATATTTACACAGAGTACACCATTCTTAGTACCTGTGATCTTTGTGAAAACGATTTTCTGTTGGCCATTATGGAACCTAAGCATGTTAGAAAAACGGACTATTTTCAGTTTAGATACAAATCAGATACTGGTCCCCTTTGCTAGTGAACACAAAACGCAACCATCTCTCTGTTCTTGTAAACTGTGGTTGACGTAAGATAGCACTTTCATTACATCTGTGGCTTTCTAATCTGCATTCATATCTCCTCACATGCTTTTCTGTTATTTTTTTTCTCTCTGGCACTAGTCCTATGATCTCCTTAACGGTATTTTTGTACTATTGTGATGTGTGGTTCTCTTAAAAGTTTCATTTTACCACACAAACTCTACTTTATCGATTTTATCCTCAGAACTGTCAACCTTAAATGCTGGTACAGTATAACTGTCCTCAATATCAAAAAGTGCTTTTGAAATCATTTAATTTCCCAGTCAGTGAGAACCCTGATGTCATTGATTAGCCAAACATCAAGCTGGCTACAAAAAGCTTCTCCAGCACATTAAAACTCAGCACAGTTGTTTTTCTACTTACATAAGAAAATTGGAGGGAAATATGCACTGCTTTTGCTGTTCTAACAATGATATGTAAAGGTAAAAAGCTTTATGAAAGTTGACTTTGTTTACCCCCCAGCTGTGTTTCTCGATTCCCCTAAGTGGATTGGAAAAACTCAAACAAACTCTGCTGTCCGCAAACAAAGGAGAAGACCTACAGGGAGGTGTTGGGTTGTAAATGAGGGACAGAGACACAAAGCCTCAGAAACACCTACATCATTTTGACAGCTGAAAACGCAACCATCTCTCTGTTCTTGTAAACTGTGGTTGACGTAAGATAGTACTTTCATTACATCTGTGGCTTTCTAATCTGCATTCATATCTCCTCACATGCTTTTCTGTTATTTTTTTTCTCTCTGGCACTAGTCCTATGATCTCCTTAACAGTATTTTTGTACTATTGTGATGTGTGGTTCTCTTAAAAGTTTCATTTTACCACACAAACTCTACTTTATCGATTTTATCCTCAGAACTGTCAACCTTAAATGCTCAATATCAAAAAGTGCTTTTGAAATCATTTAATTTCCCAGTCAGTGAGAACCCTGATGTCATTGATTAGCCAAACATCAAGCTGGCTACAAAAAGCTTCTCCAGCACATTAAAACTCAGCACAGTTGTTTTTCTACTTACATAAGAAAATTGGAGGGAAATATGCACTGCTTTTGCTGTTCTAACAATGATATGTAAAGGTAAAAAGCTTTATGAAAGTTGACTTTGTTTACCCCCCAGCTGTGTTTCTCGATTCCCCTAAGTGGATTGGAAAAACTCAAACAAACTCTGCTGTCCGCAAACAAAGGAGAAGACCTACAGGGAGGTGTTGGGTTGTAAATGAGGGACAGAGACACAAAGCCTCAGAAACACCTACATCATTTTGACAGCTGCACTCGTGAAAGGCTTCATTATTTTGAGGTGGACATGCTGCGAATGACGATATAAGAGGTATATGAAAAACAAATTGCTTGAACAATTTAAAATCTTGCCAGAATTATGCTCAGAGATTGGATAATTATTGGCTATTACATAATTGACATTAATTCAGAGTTTTGATAGGTTGGCTTATAACACCCGGTTCAACTTTGCTGCCAAGTGCATGGTGTTTTGGGGTTTCAACTAAAATTATGAAGGTAGGTAGTGGTGTTTTTTTTTTCTTTTCTTTTTTTGTAGTCAAATCAAACCATGTCTCATCTTTCTGAAAACATTCTTTTGATACCTCACTATCCTACTAACTTCATAAAGACAACATAAAAGACCTCAACTTCCCTTCTAGAATCCAACTGAGATCCTTCCAAACTCTCTCCAATGTATCCCATAAATCACACAGCGCTCACTTCCTTTATTTACCACCTGCACACTATTGGCTTGTTATTATAGCTGCATAATCAGATTGTAAATAATTACCAGCTTTACAACTCTAAAACGTTCCACAAGGAGAATTTTGGCATGTTCATCATCAATACGTTCTCTATTCTTCCCTCCCAAATTTACATTTGTATCACCATCAGCATGTAGCCTCAGTTGGAGCTGGCAGCTCATTGGCAGCATAGCGGCACAGGCTTTAGATACATTTTTAAATGTACTTTGGTGAAACTGTGGTAAGGAAGAAGACACTAACCTTGCCTTTTAATTACATGCAACCTCTCATTTCTATTCTTGACATGCAATACTGACTCTTCCTGACTTTGTCTTTGACTTGTGCCTTGTACTGACGGCTATCAAAGTGTTCATTCATCCAGATATAGAATGCATGAACTTCCTTGTAAATTAGTTATTCAAAAAGCCTATGACAAGGAAATAAATGTTCATTTAAACGCAAGAATCAATTATCCAGCCCATTCAGATTCAGTCAGCAAGTTTTAATTTGTAATGGGATGAGGGGAGGATGTCCAGAAACAATATGAGATCTGCTGAACAACTTTATCTGCACTACAATTCGAAATTCCTCCACTCACTGCATCGCTTAAACATTAAACAATGATCACAGTGACAGAAGAGCTCAAAGAATACAAATATCAGTATCTCGTTACTACAATGAAAATAATGTGGAGCCTTCCTCTCAAAAGATGCAAGCTCTGCGTCAGATTTAGAAAAGAGTGTGTGGAAGATTCAGAGACCCTCGGAGGTCAGAGAGCTGCTCACGGCAAATGTCAGGGCATGGTATTATGAGAGGGTACCACATAAAAAAACACTCACACACACACACATAGTTCATTAGAAACAACTGTCTGGTCTAAATGTATACACAAAAACACCCAAATCTATGTCTTTAACTTTTAAGTTTGTGTTATGTGAAATAGAGTGAAGAGATATTAACAGCTTTTGTTGCAGTAATCATGTGTGACCTCTGCTGGTGAGGTCCTTTAACACAAACTCATATGGAACCTGCATGAGGCAAATTCACAAGGAAACTGTATGTGACACAAAATGACTCTGCAATTCCCACCACAGGCAACAAGCCTTCCACACATGAGAAGATCCACAGCAAAACAGCCCAAACAAACTGCATCACCTTTAAATTAACTTTTGCTATGATCAAAAATAATTTGATGATACAAACAACTGAGAATTGAACATGCAGATAAGCTGATGATTCTAGAGCCTCTTTGACTCTTCGGTTAATAGTAATAATAATACAAATACTACTAATACTATTACTATTGCTACTACTACTACTACTAATAATAATAATATAAATTGTTTAAAAAAAAGTGATTACACAGCATAAATAAATTAAATATATATACAAAATAGTCACACATCAATTTAACCATAATAAACTTGAAGTATCAGATTAAATGTTTGGTTTAAAGTTTAACTCAAGTAAGCAAGAAAGGTGGGTTGTGCGACGAAATGGTTGCTTGTGTGACTCCAAAGCAAAAAGAAAAAAACGCAATTTTTTACAAGCGTGACGCAAATAAATGTTTCCCCGCGTGAGATTCATCCCGAGTGTAGGCACTAGGCAGTTGATGCCATATAATAATCAAATCTTACTGATGCATTAATACATTAATGCTGATAATGGATAGCAATAGTAAAGGTAATGTTTTGAGATGCGATCGAGCGATGTGTTGTTAACTGTGTTTAATTACTATTATTATGGTAATGGTACGGTCATGTTTAGCTCACGGCTGTTTTTCCGTTTTGTAGCTCTCGGTTTTAATATGTTTTATTAAGCACTCAATAAAGAAGACTTTATAAAAATGACTTGAGGCGCGTCAGATCTAAATATTTAATCTTACTTTGATTAGTAAAATGTTTTCCATATTTATGGAAAGGAACTCACGAGCTCCACTTTTACGCATAATTCTACGCATTATTAAAGTTAGAAAGAAGAAAAAGAGAGAGAATTCAAACATATCTTGAGACATCATAAGACTTTCCCCTTTGCTTTATCGGCTACTGCAATCTGAAGAAAGCGATCATCTTACCACTTGAGCGACGAACAATATTTTCCAAAAAAGTGTTCTGTGGTGCCACCAGTCCTCTTTTTCCCCCGTGCATTCTGCGGCCGGGCAGCGTCGGTCAGGCTTGCGGACTTGCTGGAAGCTGGTCGTTAAAGTGATGCAGGCAGGATGGCAATCTATCGGTGGGATGGAGAAGATCATGGTAACGCTGCGCCGTGCCTGACTGGTATGGGTCCTTTGTACCACGGAGCGCTCGCAGTTCTGCAGGCTCTGCGCTCCCCTGTTTTGCGCCTGCGCACTGGCGAACTGTAACAATAAAAATTGACTGGCACAGGAATCTCGAGCGCGATGCCCGGTGCCATGGAGATAGTCACATGCAACAGATGGTGCCTTTTGCGCGAGAATTAGTTACATGGAAACTCAAGAGTTACTGTAGATGATGGGAATGTCATCTTAAGTGAGCAAAAAAAGTAAATGTAACAGTTCAAGTGAGTTACTAAGGGATAGGGTTATAATCCATGAACCTACGGAAGGTTTATGCGCAATCTTGATTACACCGGGATGCAGAGTGCTTTTAATTACGTCAATATGATGGTACCACGTCAGTATAGTCATCGTCAATATTTCATAAAACGTGTTATGTTCATTCAACACATTTCAGATGAAACCTGAGTGTATTTCATCATAAAGCCTTCGGGGGAAAAAATATGAATAAATGAACACTGAATAAATTAATAAGAAAAAAAACTACAGGCTAGATAAATTACTGAAAGTCAAAATGATTGAATTATCAATCAGGAAATTCAATCAGAAAGAAAGAAAGAACGAAAGCAAGAAAGTGAATGAATGAAGATCCACCTCCTGCCATCCTTCCCTGTGGCGCCATATTTTAGGAAACGCAGTTAGACTCGGGACGTCCTCCAGCCCCTCCTGTGCCGCTGAAGTCCCTGTCTGAGTAGGCTGTGGACAGAGCCCCTATTGTTCCCAGCCCACTCCTGCCTAATATGGAATTCGCTCAGAAACCAATGATTTCCTGACACTGACGATGCGTAGCCGCGTAGGGGCGAAGGTGGAAAGCTGTTTGGAGTATGAAGGAATTAACCCGAAACCACAGCCACTGTTTTTGAAACGGTTTCGTCGTCGGATCAGGAAAATGTAAAATATCGGAATGCAAGTTGTAGGAGTTATAGTGAGTTTTCTTGAAACTGCTGTCGATGGCGAGGGATTGTTTTGGAAGCGCGAGCTAAAGCGTGGGTCACCTACTTGACGGATTTGCCTGCGCACCGTACGACTCGCCAACTCGAGTGTTTCAACTGGTCACACGAAGACTAACGTCTTAAAGATTGGTATTTCTAGTCGACCGAAGACTTGACTACCTGTGGAGGATATCGTTTCTGGACTTGTCCAACTATCATGCCTACTCTCAGCTCGAAAAGTAGGCAGAGCGCAGTGGAAGCGGATGAGGATGGAGGCAGTAGCAGCGATCCTCTCGATACTGCGGCCAAAAAGATGTTGAAATGTGTTGTGGTCGGCGATGGAGCTGTGGGCAAAACCTGTTTGCTGATGAGTTACGCAAACGATGCTTTTCCCGAGGAATATGTACCAACTGTATTCGATCACTATGCAGGTAAGACGATTTCCAGCTCAAAGCATTCAATTGAATTCCCTGTTTATGAAGTGCAGTTTATGTCTATCTAATCCTTGTCTACCGCCCCCCACTACAGTCGGGTAGGGGACGGTCCCAAGAATAACCATTTGAAAGAGGATATATCAACTGCCAGAGCGAGGACTGAGGCCCGATACTAAAAAGTAGAAACATAGTTTGGGCATCAGAGCCCTCTAATGTAGGGTTAATAAAAAAATATATATTGTAGGCTACTTAATGAATTTCAAAAGGGTGTAGCTTACCTGTAGCCTACACATTTCATCAATGTGTTTTCAACTACATTTAAATCGCTTTGTAAACAGAAGCTGCTTGGACTAAATATGCAATAGCAACAACGTTCCTGAAAGCTTTGCTTCCGAATCAGTATCAGTTTCATTATTCAACAATAGTTGAACAAAAATACTAAAACAAGTGTTTAAAACTTCTTTAAGGTCGTTGGCCATTACCTTACTGTTCTAGGGACGTCAAAAGACAATTTATGTTGCGCAAGAGGTAAATATTAAATAATGTAAATAGCAACAAGCTGCGCATCAGTGAGAGTCAGAGCTCGCGAGAGCCGCAACCTGTTGATTACAGGAACAGACGCAATCTAAACGCGTTGTCAGTAGCCTACTGTACTGTATTATATCTTTGTAGAACCACTGTGGTTTATGGTTACAAATGTGTTGTCATCCATTAAGTTTTTTCTTGTTTTCTCTGACTGTATGATATGTATGAATGCATAAAGGCTTTGGTTTCTCATCAGGGGAAAGCCCCCTATGACACATGCTCCCAGAATCCTATGAGGGTCAAGTCCTAATTACACAGTGGCAGACAGGTCAGCTTCGACTTCCACTGGGAACAGCAGGACACTTCCCTCACAAATTAGTTCTTCTTAAAAGAACTTGTAGGAAGAAAAATTACAAACAAGCCCTGTGTCAATATGCCTACTTCCATACTATGTAGTAGGTGAAAGACAGTACATGAAAAAAGCAGTGTATCTGAATTCATAGTCTTCAAAAAAGAACAGGAGGCAAAAAGTACCTGACTTACAACATCCACAGAGACACTTTACTATCCCATGAGGCCACAGAAGAGGATTTTTAAGTGGCAGTGAAGGGACACAACTGACACTGGTAGGTCACGTGACAGTAATAACATAACAAATAATAGTAAGTTTATTCATACCTCCCATATTCATACTATATAAAAAAACACACTTTTTAACAGGCGGAAAGTATGTTTATAGCACCTACTAGACAGTATGTGATTTCGGATGTAGCTAAGATCTCTTATTATCAGTTTTCCCAACTATAAAAAACTTCTAAGATGAAAAATTTTAAATGACACTAATATAAGGAGTGCTACAAAAGTAGATGTCTGCAATCATTCTAATCTAATGCAATCTTCCAAATGCAATACAGGTCTTTTCAATTGACGTTATTAGCAGTGGAAAAGTTGGAAAAGCAGTGGAGTGAGTTGCTGTCATTTCATATTTACACTATTTGTATTTTGAAGCAAGATCTTTTATTCAGCGTCTTTAGATGATTAATGATACCAGGACTGAGTGATTCACATATTTCCAGGGCTGGAGAGAAAAAGCTTGTGAATTACTATGAAACATGAATGAAAAAAAAATGTTTTGGCTCTCATTTGTGAAAGTGTTTTTTTATAGCTTAAGAACCTTAAAGCAGGTATTGTCAAAGGATTTTCTATTGCACATTTCGCTCTAATGTGCCATATGATCAAATGAGGCATGTTTATCTGGGCTGTGCCAAAAAGAAGAACTCTTTTTCTTTTTATGAGATTTTAATAGTATCCTGTGTTGTAATTTCATCCAGCTGGTCAGTGCAGGCTCAGGACAAACACACAGACTGAACTCATTGAAGGAGTGAGTAAAACTTTTAAACTCTTGGGAGTTGAATGAGATGGAAAGATCTTCAGGGAGTGTGATTCTCGGTCAACTCTTGTAGTTGAATTAAGCTGACGAGTGAGGCCATCCAGAGGACACTAAATGGATGTCACAGAACAAAAGTTTGAATGCAGGCACTTTTTTGTAATAAAAAAATTGGCCTTTAAAAAATTAAAGACAGAGTAGTACAGAATGAAAAATTGAGAAAGAAGAGAGACAATATTCTTCCAGGGCCAATCAATCACTTACATTCACATTAGGCCCCTGGAGAGAGGCCTTGACAAAGCATCATAATAAAGTAGCGAATTGTCACATAGTGGCTTAATGTGCAGGATAAAGAGCACAGAGCTGCCATTGTAGGCCACTGAAAGCTTTACTGTGTTGCTATGCTAGAATTGGTCTTAAATGAAAAACTATGAAATTCATTCATGCCTCAGCAGTAATGGAACAGTTTGCAATATAGGAAGCACTGGGAATATGGTAATTGAATTATAAGTGAACATATAATTAATAAATAAGCAGCTTTTTCAAAATGTGTAGTTAAATGGTGAACTGAGCAATCCAAGCAGCAGCTATTTGGAGATATATTTACTGTATATTGTTTAACAGACTAAAAAAACTACTGACCCAAAACTTTGGTAGTGTACATAAAAAGGTAATATCGTATAATTTAACTTTTCCAATTATGTCTGTGATCATTATGAGTGATTGAACTAAAATTATATTCTTTTCACCAGAACCATTGTGATTGAAATCTACGAGAGCTAGAGCTCAACCCAACAGTATCTGGGACTATGGTTTCCGTCCATAAATCCCACAGGATCTGAATTCTCTTGTCCAAAACAAACCAATGACATTCCCGGTCCATGACACAGTGCCTGTTAATGCGTTTGAGATGAGTCATCGTCTAGTGTGGCTCCCACACTCCTAACAAAACCAACTAATCCACCAGTGATACTGAATTGTGGATATTGCCACGTGCTCAATATTAAAATACCTACAGCTGGAAAGCTATAGTTCGTTTTAGTTAGGGACAGGCTGGGAAGTAGCACTTTTCAAATTTAAACTCATCTATGCCATAGCTAATGGTAACTCTTTGTGCTGCAACGCTCCATTCACCACAGCTGGTGTTGTATCGGCACAGATTGCTAATTTAACACATATTGTTGTTGTTTTTTCATTATCTTTCCACTACATTTTCCATTTGATTTGATCTCTCCTTGATTTGGCAGATCTGTAAAGCACAGGGTTTTGATTTGAAAGATCACCATGAGCAATAATATTCTGAGCTATAATAAAACAATAGCCTATCAGTTAGATTGTGTTTATTAACACTGATATCAATAATAATTATATATTTAAATGAATACCAATAAAGGAAACCAGAAACCAGTTTTGTTCTGGTTTTGAAGATATTTTATTCTTTGCTGCTGGTGATATCCCGTAATCCTGTGCATGTGGTTTGATGGTTAGTGGTATCAACATGCCAGATTTGGTTAGTGGTTAGTTGGTGGAAAGAATAAAAGTTGTGTCTAATGGAGTGGTTGAAGGAAGTAAACCTTCTTTTGAACTATGAGTAAAAGTTGCTGGTAAACATAAAAAATCCTGTGGTAAACATAATTTGATGATACTTTGACGTTTTGTTCTACAATGTAAATTACAC